ATGAAATCATTGTTTCATCGTTGTTTTCGAAATTTATTTATTTTTTTATTTTTGCAAAGGTAAAGAGAATGTCAATTTGATTTTGACTGCCTTTGCAGATGGATAGCTTTGGTTCTAGAGTTCGAAATATAAAAGTTTGTATATATAATAAAAATATTTATAATAAATTAATTGAAATTTTTGTCTATCAATTTTTGTTTTAATATTTAGAATTTTAAACTTTTGACTTTCTATATCTATTTGTAAGCTAGTTAATACGAAATTATTGGACTTGGAAGATTTTTCGTTTCTGGCCTTTTCAATTTTACAAGTGAAATTTATCGATACTTGATTGGATTTCACTGAATTACTGATAATATAAATTATTCCATGAAATGAAAATGAACGAAAAGGTAAATACAAAATGGATTTTTCCCATTTTAAAAATAATCGATTGCAAATCGAGATTGAATCTCGATTTTTACTCGAAAACAAGGAATCAAACGATAAAATTTTATTCTATTACAATTTCGTTTGCTGCATTCAAAAAATATTCAAACTTGACTCATTCGAAAAAAAAAGTTTATTTCTTTTACTGAAAACTTGCCAATTTCTTTTTCTTCCTTTTTTTTCCTTTGGAAATTGACCAATTTCTTTTTTTTTTTATCTTTTTCTTTATTCTTCACTCCTGGAAATTAGCCAATATACTGGAAAAACGTTCAAATTTACTCGAAAACAAAATTTCAACATTTAACTTCAACATTCGTGCATAAATTCGCATACACCCTATATATTATATACTACGTACAATTTCAACCGATCACGTTACCATTATCCGACCCAATTCTCCTCCTTCTTCTTAAAAAAAAAAAAAAAAAAAAATTCCAAGGGACAAGACGAGCAATTAAGCATGGAGATTGGGCGGTTTAAAGTTTACATGGCACGTGTCGATTTTAATCCGCTCGACCTTGGAGCGACCGAATCGCATTCGCCTGCAGCGTGTAGCTGTATCGAACCATCCGGGCCACGGGCAAGGAGCAGCCCCAATGTCAAGGTCGCTGCTCGATCGGTAACCGAGAGACCTGGCCCAGTTCTTTTACCGGGTGAAAACCTCTTTTCGTCCATCCCCTCCCCCTCCTCTCTTTTTTCCTCTCTGCTCGCCACTATAAGATTTTGGACGATTCTTCGTTGCATAACTGGTGCAAGATTAGAGATGGTCGATCGTGATTACGATAATTCGAACAGAAATAACGTTTATGATAGGTTAGAATGTATTCGTTCTTTTTTATCGATGGAAGATTTTGAATTTGAGAGAATCGAAAGAGACTATTAAAAATATGCGTAGAAATAATAGCGTGAATAAATCGAACATTTGATTAATTGGATCGAGAGAAGGAAATTTTTTTTTTTTTATTTTTGAAATTTTTTGTAATTGTAAAATATAAACGAGACATTATTTGACGGGATGAATCTGCGAATCGTAATAATCCCTCCTTTCCTTTCCAGGTGACAAACGACCCAACCGAGATCAACATCTATCTCCTCGATGGTTCGTTGATCGACGAGGAGGAATATTTTTCCACGTTGAAACCTCAGACGACGCTGATCCTGCAGAAACCTGGCGAGAAAGTGTTGTCCGGTTAGCGATTTAACTCGAATAATTTTTTAAAAATATTATACGCGTATACAAGGTGTTTAAAAAAAAAAAAGATTTTCAAATTTTTAATAATTTTTAACGATAATTTTCGCGTATTCTCAAACTCTATCGAATTATTTCCCAATTATTTTCTCTTTACTTGTTCGATGATTGATATAAGGGGCTTTTTTTTGGTTACAGATGCGGATCTCCTGTACGACACGTTGAGGCGTGTCAACATCGATTTTCTGATCGCCGGCGAGAAAGCGTCCGAATTCCTCGCGGAGAACCTTAAAGCAAAGGTTGCAGTTCTAAACAACGCTTTGAACAAGGACGACTCGAAAACGGCGTTCAGCAGCAGGGACGAGCACCCGGACTGGTTCCAGGGATTGGAGACCAATTGCGCGACTAAGGTGAGTCCTCTTCCTTTTCTTTTTTTTTTTTTTAAACAC